GCCTCTTATCCTTTTGCTACGCTGCTGAGCAGGGTCTAAATTCCCCCTTGGGTAACCCACCCATCAGAGGTGAGTAGAAGACACCAATGGATTCTGCCCCTTCACCTGTTCTTCCCTAGAAGCAAACCAGCCCCCCTTCTGTACATGAGCATCTCCTTGTACCCCCTKTGCACCAGTTCCCTACCTAGCCAAATGTATCATCGTTTCTATCGGATATTTTTTCCTTTTACCATGTTTAAAATCTAAGCTGATCCTTTTCTTTATTATTATTAAATAGGAGATTGTAGAAAAATCACATATGTCTGGAAGCATGTTTAATTTATACCTTCACCAGAACTATGTGGAATTTTTCGCTAATATAGATGATGTTGTGAGAGCCAGTGAATATCTGAGCACTGCTGATGTCCTTTGTAGTAATTGGAATGTAAGTGTCCTTTTCTATACATACATGTTTTCATATTCTAAAATTGAACGTTAGTTTTTATGAATAGTTGGAAGTATTTCTTTTATAAGTAATTGCACTGTTTTGCTTCTAATGTACTATATGTAACAGTAAATTCTTAATAAATACTAGACTACATTAAATGTAGGAGCAATACAGCCACCTGTGTACAGTTTGTCTAACGTACTGTAATAACACTGATATAACATATAATTTTATAAAAATATTTTCAAGTACAATAAATTTATACTAAAAATTTGTTGGATACTTGAGCTAGCTTTTCCATTCTGTTTCTTTGAGGAAGTTTCATGGTAACTTAAGTGCATTCTGATTCCCTCTGTGTGACGGAAATTACAGAATGTGTTCCTGTTCAAATAAGTTACTCTGTGCAGAGATGATGCTTATTCATATAATGCCTGATTTCTCTCTCAGTCGCGACCTGTGATGGAAAAATACAGCGCATCTGTGGCTACCCGAGGTGTCATACATTCAAATACAGCCAGAGCCTTTGCGCAGAGTCAGGGAGGACTGGGCTTTCGTCCTCTACACAAGCCCCAATGGTTCTTTATCAATAAAAAGGTAAACACCTCATGTTTTGAGCGAAGTATTGCACATTACACTCATTTTGTAGTGAATTCAGTAGTATGTGGGAAATTTGTATATGGTACTAAACCTGCTAAATATACTTCCTACTTAAATATAAGCTGCTGCTTAAAAAATAAGCAAAATGCAGAGGAAAAACAAAAYAGGGGCCTTTCAAAATCTGCTTCCTGTGCTCAAGTTAGCATATTTCTGGGAGAGTCCTAAGTCCAAGTTTATAGAGAGACAATTGGTGTTGAAATAAAGTGTTCCTAACAATAAGTTCAAGTTTGTACAGCTTAAAACAGTTTAAACTGTTACGTAAGGTTAATGAATTACTGCTCTTGTTTTATGTGTTTATCAAAAATAGCTCATTCATGAGGCTTCAATTTTTTTTTAATTTGAATTAATATCTGTCTTGCTGTGTCCAGCAATAAAAGGTTTGCCTGCATAGATAGGACATACTGTAATTGAATGATAAATATATTCAGGAAACTTAATGTCCAACAAAAGACAAAAATTGAAGAAATTAACATTTTTGTGCTCTGTATATGTTAACCCTGAGTGTTTATGTCTTTTCTGGACTCACTGTTCAATAGCGTGCATATAATAATCCTGCAGCCCCCMAAAATATTGCTTTTTTATGATGCAAAATGTTTATATTAATATAAAGTTTATCATGATTTTACTTTTTCCCCCCCTCACAACAGTATCAAGAAAATTGCCTTGCAGCAAAATCTCTCTTTTCAAATTTCTGTTTACCACCGGAGTGTCTTCAGACAGAGCTGCTGCCTTATCTTGCCATGCTAACAAATCCAATGAGAAACCAAGGTAATATCTGCACAGCCCGTGCTCTTTAATTCTTTCTATAATTAAAGCATACTGAAAAATGTTTGTAACTGAAAACATCAATGCTGTCTATTCTCCTTKCTCACTGAGAAAACATGTTTTGTACACGTATAGCCAATATATGTTTTGGATGACATAACTAAAAATTTGAGCTGACCAGTTAAGTTGGAAACAACTTTAAGAGCATGTTAAACTTATTCAACTGGAAGAATTAAACATGAGTAACATGGACAGGGTCCTGGGCAGCCTGCTGTAGCTGATCCTGCTTGAGCAGTGGAAGTTGGACCAAGTGATCTCTAAAACCTTCTTCCAGCCTCAGCTGTTTTAGGATTCTGTGACATCAGGATGAATTCATTTTGTAGGATATGTGCTAATAACTTGATATCATAGATATGTATAAGTGGTAGGGATTTTTTGTTCTGCATAGGCATGTATAAAAATGTTATGGTAATGTGATAAATGTACTTTAAATATATA